GTCCAGATGGGAGATTCCACAAAGGTCGTGGAGAATAACATGGCTAAGATCCTGTGGTCCAGATCCAGATGGACAGGCAGGTACTGGCCAATCAATCAGACATCATGGTAGTAGCCAAGGACTGGAAGACAATGATGGTGATAGATGTACCAGTGCCAAGTGACAGCAACATCAGGAAGAAGGAGTATGAGAAACTGGAGAAGTACCAGGGCCTGAAGGAGGAACTAGAGAGGATGTGGAAAGGAAAGGCCAAGGTGATCCCAGTGGTGGTAGGAGCACTCGGGGCTGTGACTCCTAAGCTGGAGAGTGGCTCCAACAGAACCCAGGAACAACATCAGAGCTCTCTGTCCGGAAGAGTGCAGTGCTAGGAACAGCTAAGATACAGCACAGGACCTCAAACTCCCAGACCTCTGGTAGAGGACCTGAGATTGAGGAAGACACACATCACCCATAGGGGTGAGAGGGGAATTTTTCTTTAAAAAACCCTCAAACCCACTTTTTTTAGCTATTCAAGAAAAAACAGTCCTACATATATATTCATATTATATAATACATTTAACTGCTAACATTTAAGTCACTTCATTTAACGTTAGGAAAATTGGAAATTCAGCATATAAACTAGCATATGCAGTCCAACTTAATGAGTGTATTTGTGCAACATGCTGGTTTAGACTAAAAGAGGGTTGGTAGTTCAAAGTTCAATGTGCTGTGAGAACTCAACCATGGTCTTATGATGCTGTGTGAATAAGGTCATCACATTAAACCATAACATAATTTTGGGGATATAGAACATAGTAATTGTGCTTTGTTAATGTGGATTTAGCATGTTGGGTGAATACCAACTACCACTGATTTAAGGAGAGCTCTCCCCCATCCCCCATTTCAGTTTCCCATCTATAAGTTGGTTAACAATAGCAGCTTAGACTTTGTGTACCACGGAGAAATTATTTAGTTTCTACACCATGCTATGGTCACTTAGATAGCATTAGAGAATATGAATTTGAAATATTAATATACTGTATGTTTGCTACAAAGACCAATAGCATAATCATTAATGCAGAAATATTAAGTATATTTGCAGATGTGCATCCATGTGCAAAAAACCCCCCAAACCTCTAAAACGAATAACATAGGGTACCTTCTTAGAGAAAATATTCTGAAGTGAGAAGCAGAGAGTTGCAGCCAGGGCACTTATAAGTCCCCAAGTGTCAAATGAGAGTTCCGTAACTGTGGCCAGCAGGACTCCACCAATAATAGGGATGAGGGATAAATACACCTGAGAGAGGAAGAGAAAAATTGCTACTTATATGGGACAGCAGCTGTTTTCCAAGTTCAGGTGGCCCAGAAAGTTTATGCGAGCCTCACAAAACACTCTTTCCAAATATCTTTTTTTCAAATATTTCAACAGAACAGCTGTAGGAGAAGCATCAAAAAGCTTCACCTCTCTGACTATTCCTATTTCTCTTACCTTGGTTGTCTGCTTTTCCTTCATGATGATTCTTGACAGCAGAACAACCCAAATAGGCATTGTTGCTTTAACTGAAAGGAGAAGGAAGGGTAGAGAATTAAAGTGAGGCTAGCAACAAGGCCAGGGAAATCAAAGGAAACTAGTCAGAAACTGAAATACTGCATGCCGATATTACTCAACACAGTGTAAATGTTTGCTCAACCTCCACTCCAGTATGTAAAAGATTCCATGGTGATGCTACAGAGGATCAAGTGGCACTGCCTAGCCTGACATTTTCTCCCACCATTAGTCAACACAACTCCCAGTTTTCCTTGCCTCTGCTTCCCTCTGTATGAACTATCAGGCACTCTGGACCAACCAGATTATTGACAGTAGGAGCTTTTTTTTTTAACAATGCCAATCCCTCCAGGCATGTTTCTTCTTCCTCAATATAAATAAGGAAATGCATTTGAATGGCAAAATGGTCATGTAACTCACTCCGTTATTACTTCTTTTCTTTCCACAGATATACTGTACCATCTTTCTCCCAATGGGAAAAGCTGTCCTTTCTCTTGCAGCTATACCAACATTCTACACATAGATGGAGACAGCCTGGCAATCTGATGAAAACTGTTAACTCCATTCAGAGAAGCCCTCCTTCTAGCCCTTTGCAAACCCACTTGTGAACCAAAGTAGTTTAGCACTAACTATGAAGGAGATCAAGATTCCAATCCATGCTCAGCCACAAAAGTTCACTGGGTAATATTGGGCCAATCACTACCTCTTAACCCACCTTACCTCACAAGGCAGCTGTTGTGGGGATAACAGGAAACAGCATAATGCACTGCTGCACCTTGTGATGTAGTAATCAAGGTGTGGGACTGGCACCAGAGACACCCAGCTTCTAGTCCACCCTTCGCCATAGTAGCTTACTGGGTGACTTTGGGCCAGTCATTCTTGCAGCTCAGCGTACTTCACGAGGTTATTACTATAGAGGAAATGCTATGTATGCTGCCTTAGGCAGGATATAAACCTAAGAAATATAGGAAAGTTGGGGTAGAAATCTAACATACAAAGTACTCCCTTCTTTCTCATTTACTCTGCACTGGGCACAGAAAAACATTGTTCTTTCCATACAAGCATATCCGCAGGCAATGTTTCATATTCCTTCGTTCTAGAACATTAAAAAAATGAAGGGCATGTTCCCCCCCCCCCAAGCACTTGAAAGCACTCTGTATATGGACTAGTGACTCCCTCCCCCACGCGCCCCTCCATACCGGTGTGAGCGTAGGAGACTGGGACGCGCCAAAGGGAGACGTGGGCTGAGACGGAGGCTAAGTACTTGCCAAAGGCGAGCGGAAGGATGAGACGCGGGTACGCGCGAGGAGGAAGCTGGGCTGGGCTGGCGGCGGGCACGCGCCAGGCCCGTAACAAGGGGGGCAGGAGCGCCACTAAGCCCAGCACGTGGCAGAGCGAGACTGTCACGGGCCGCGGGAATGCGCCCAGCAGCACCTTATTCACCACGTTCCCGCCAGCGCTCAGCGCGTACCACGCCAGGCAGAGCGCAGGCACGCGAAACAGCCCCGATGACCCGCGGGGGGATGTGCCGGAGGGGCTGGCGGGTGAGGAGGGCGCGGGAGGGGGAAGGAGGAGGCCGGGCGGCGGCGGCGGCGGCGACACCATCCTCAGGGTGGGGAGAAGAGCTGCACCGGTGCCTCTGCAGCCGGGACGGAGCCGCTTTGCCTTTCCTCGGACGCGTCACTTCCGCCCAGCCGGCGGAAGCGAAGTGCCATAGCGACGGAAGCCGGGAAGGACGGCTCCGTTCAGTCTCAGAAAAGCGAAGTCCCCGGCGGGCGGCCCCGGCCAAAGGAAGGACCGGGCTTCTTCCCTTGTCTCTGCGGAGGGCGGGAGTGCTCGGGCGTCAGTGCACCGACGCTG